TGGGTTATCCAGAGGTCAGGTACGGATTTCTTTTTTTGCACTCCTGTAGCGCGTGGGTACGTAACCTGAAAACACTACGGGGCAGAAATCAGAAGCAACTGAGCCCAAGAATGCCACAAAGGTGGTTTGTTTGGATTTTTTTTGTTTTTTTGTTGTGTTTTTTTTTTTTATTAAGTCTTGCCCGTTTTGCTTTTCCTGATTTTTTAATTTATTTTTTTCTCTGACTTCTAGTTTTCCAATTCCTGGTCCCATCCCAGAGAGTCTACTTGGGCATATGACATATAACGATGACAGGGACTCTACCAATATCATTATCTGCTGCTTCACTTTGGTGGGGTTTTTTTGTTTTTGTCTCTTTTTTTCCTTGCTTGGTTTGGTTTTTTGTGTGGTAATTGTTTAGTTTAGTCTTGTTTTTTTATCCAGACAGGCATCATCCCACTCTTTTTTTGAAGTTCACGTGGAAACCTACTTTAAATCTGAGTTTTTGAGGCTGCCCCTGTTGCCCTGTCACAGCAGGCTGGAACTCAATAAGCGCTCAGGCAAGCATAGCAGGCCAGGCAATGGGCCTTGGCGGCTGCACGCTGTGAACTCCTGCCTCACTGAATCAGCTTCTGTGTGTTTTTATAACTGCCTGGTTTCTTCCCTGTTAATTATGCCCCAAGGCTGTGGAAAGACAGCATTTATCTGTTTCAACAGACTAAGCAGCAAGTGTTCTGACATGTTTATCAGGCAAATTGTACCTGACAAAAGGTAATTACGCATACAATCAAGTGCAGACGTAACTGGGTGATTAGGGGTTAATAAACTGTTTAGCATAAGAAATATTCAGCTTGTGAGCAAGGAGAGTGGGCCAGAAGGACATAACTGTGACAGCGATACCTTAAAATAATTACTTTTCTTTTGATGGAATATTTGACTTTACAGAAAGGTAAGCAGGATATTAAGTGTGCAACTCCTCGTTTTTATATCCAGTCCTGGTCACTGGTGCCTAATGTACAACCAAAGCTATTTTCTGGCACTCTTACTACTTCAGAAGAGGTAATAGCGCCATTCCAACTTGTACGAAGCTACTTTGATAGTTTACAATTAGGATTTGCAATTTAATTTATTACCATTCTATGATTTTTGTAGAATAACAAACACAACTGGTGTTGTCTAATGGACACTGCCCCCATTTCCTTCTGCAAAGCTCTCATCTCCTGTCTCTGCTCTGTTGACTCTGTGCATAGCTAGTTCCCAAAGCTGCATTCTCTTCCAAGATTATTCCTGACAGTTGCCCAAAAGTAAAAAGGAAAGGGCATCTGTGTGATATTTGAGGATGTGACAAGAGCCTCAAACAGCATTGAAAGGGCTGGATGGTCAATTCCAGCAGTTCCCAGTGCACAAAATTCTCACATAATTACAACATGGCCTAAATACAGCGCTACGGCTGAGCTACTTTAGGTAATACAAGACAAAGCTTTCCTGAGCAACGATTACCAGTAATTTCTATCCAAACATGGCCATATCTCCTAGATACTGGGAAAAAGCATGAGTACTGGCATTGAAGAATAGGTGCAAGTACCTATCTGAAACTAGAAGTTTGTCCCTACAATTTAAAAACTTTTTTCCCCTGTATCATCAATAATCTAGTACTTTGTGTTAACCAAACCCATTAGATATGAAGGTCTTAAAGAAGGGCTTATTTTAACGAAAAAATAGTTTAGTATCTTTTTCAATAAAATAGTTGTGTTTAAAATAAATCTTCTATTTTATACATCCATATAATGTAAGAGAGTCAGTAGTGCAACCTTTTACATAAGTTTATATAATCATCTTTTTTCCAAATGGTGTTTATGTCGAGCAGAGAGAGCTCGTGTTAGACATAAAAGGCATGTAGAAAATACAGACATGAACAATCAGTTAGAAAATCAAAGTATTGTAAGGTGTCATTCAAAATGCAAGTGCGTATTTCTATAGTGTTAGAAGTATATATCTGATTTACAGTTTGGTGCTTTGAGAAGGCAGTGCTGTTTGATATAGTAAAAGGAATGTGCTCCTCTCTGATAATGAGTCCTACTCGTTCTAAGATGTTGGAGAAAGGTTCGCCCTCTGTCACACCTTTACAAGAGGCAATTCCTCTAAATAAGGCAAAAATACCCTATTTTTTAAGTGCAAGTTGACAGTCTATGGGACACTCGGGTGTACGAGAAAAAGTAAAGCCTGTTCCCTTTTTTTTTTCTCTCTAATGTCTCAGACACTCACACAGGTACGCACGTTTCTCTGAAAACTGTTCCTAGTCAGAAGGGCTTGCTCCTAGGGAAGCATATTCTGCTTAAGTATTAAATTCTCAGGTATAGCGTTGTCTGCCTTAGCTTATTCTTATTTTTCATGGTTGTTATGGGATAAAGAGACTACAACGGCGCCATTGTTCTTGGAGAGTATGTATATCTAATGTATTACGTGCTTCAGAGTGTTTCAGCTGTATGATAAGCTGGTTCTGACTGAACACCCTCGGGTGGCTCCTTGGGTGGGGCGGGGCAGCTAACAGCTAATGTTCTGCACTGCTGCCACAGTCTTTAAGAGGAGTGGCAGAGATTGCCTTTCTTTCCGGTTTGAAGTATTTCCCATACTGCAAAAAATTATTTTGCATGTGCATAGTAAACTTTATTAGATCCTAGTAATTTTTCCTTCCTAGTAATTTCAAGGCAAGCTATGCACATTCTAACCTTGAAGAAGTTGCAGCCAGCAGCACCAGTGTGATGTGCCAGACTCTGTGGATCTTGGTTGATTTTTGAAGCAGGAAAATATTTATTGCTAGGACTTACTCTGTGTATGTATTTCTCTTACTACAGTGCATGTCAGTGTGGACCATTCCTTGCTAGGCAAAACCTCTCATTTTCAGTTATTGTCCCACTAATGGCAACAGTTTTAGTGGATAAAATAGCACTTGGAAATGTTGCTTTAATTTAGCCCTTAATAGGTTGATTCTAGTTGCCACAGTAAGAACTATTGTCACAGAGCCAGCAAATTCTCTTGTACTTCATCCTTCACAACTGAGAAGCTGTGGGGCAAGCTCATCTGAACTTAAATCCCCTAAATATTTTGTTTGGTATGTGGGATTTTATTTGGTTTTCTGGGTTTGTTTTATTTGAGGGGTTGTTTTTTTGGTTGTTTTTTTGGGGTTTTTTTGTGTGTGGGTTTTGTTTTGTTGTGGTTTGTTTTTTTTTTCTTTTTAAATTGTCACTGATTGTTTTTCTGGCAAATTAATGCTTTTATGATTAGACTTGCCCGTGATACAGTTTTTCTTTTTGCACATTATAGCAATCACAGTTTTTTAAAATTGCAGAGATTTACGACCTTCTTTTATTTCAGCAAAACTTAACATATCCCATGTACTACGTCTCTGTAGTATGAGTCACATCAGCATGTAAAGCCAAATCCACAAAGTATTTTCCATTATATCTTCACCTTGAATACCATGTAGCATTACCAAAGGCTATTCCCTCTCCTTGTGGTTTTGTACACACCTAGTCCCAGTCACTTTATAAAATCATTTAAATATGCATCTATTGTGAATGAAAGCACAGCAAAATTACAGAGAAAAAGTTGTTTGGGTTTTTTTCTCCTCTGTTGAAGAGTTGGCCAAGTTTTAATGATTAATTTTGTTTACCCATCTGTTTGCATGACTTAAAAAACAGACTTCTTGTTTTTTCATGTTTGTCTCTTATTTTCAGTAAACTTCATGTATAAATTTCAAGGTAACTTTATCTTTTACTAAAATGAATATCATCTACTAGTGGGTTAGGTAGACCAGGGCTTCATTGTCAGCTTTGTTTTTCCAGTAGTATGTTCAAATCACATTAAGAAACCCATTTTTGAATGGATGGACTGTCTTCCAGTTCATATGCCTGTGGTCAAGACAGTACCACTCTAATAGAGGTATTTCTGTATGAGGAAGAGGAATTACAGTGCTTGATTTAAGTAAGGCACACATTTCTGTAGCAGAAAGCTGTGTAAATCAGAAAGGAACAGAGCAGCAGAAGTTGAATGGTCAGTATCTCAGCAGCATGGCTGCAGGAGTGAAGGTGAATTCAGGGTTGTGCTCGAGGCAAGCTTTGTGTGGGTGGATTGGAGTTATTTCCCATACATGTGTGATCATCCTGGGACCAGCAGCTCCCTTCTGCTAGACTGTCCTTGCTGCCGTTGGCTGCTTGCCAGCCTGGTCCCCTAACAAAGTGTCTGCATTGACTGAACATCTGCCAAATGCCAAGTCAGATGCAGGTGATATGAATGGCCAGGACACAGATCCAAAGAGCTGCACCCCAGGCAGCTCTTGCCCACCCACAGCGTACAGTAGGTGCTGTCAAAGCCCATTACATACAGCCATGTGCCACAGCACAGACCTGCAGCTGTGAGGAGGACAGAGCACACAATGCATAGCTGTGCACAGCAGCCTGCCCTACAGCAGTGGCTGCAGCTCCATCACATCTCCTCCAGCAGGAGGGCACGTTTGTCACACTGCAGCCCCGGAACACGTGCAGAAGGAGAGAAGGGAGCTATGATTGAGTGACATGTCATTTGACTGCATTTCCCTAGTCCTTTGTGTTACCTGCCATATGTCATGATAGCTGCTTCAACTTAGGAGACTTATTAGCATGAGGCTGGTTGTGTGCAGCTCTTTGATCAAGTGTGGAGCAGGGAAGAGGCTCTGGGAACATGCCATTTGCTGATAGTGTCTCTTGGCATTCACTCTTCGGAGCCAGGACTGCCTTGGACTGCACTGAATATGCTTCATGTTCTCTTGGGACATTGTTTTATCTCGTGTTGAAAAGCAGCAGACTCTGTGATCCGTTCAGAGCCCTGCATGCCCACCTGTGTTTGATCAGGTGACAAATGAGTTGTAATCTTCCACCTCAGCCATCACTGTCACTGAGATATCCCACAGCCACAAAACAATCAGATGACTGATTCAAGCATTGTCACTATGCTCATGAAAATTGCTCATGCAATATTGGCAGGAAAGTTTCTTTGAACTTGTAAGCACTGTAATTGTAACAGCCATCGAAGGCTTTGGGCCACATGTTGCTAATGGGATAGAGAGCTTCCGGGTTGGTTAGGACTTACCCAGAATCCTCCATTTCAATGTTACAATGGGGATAAGAAGTTAAATCTTTACCATTGATTTACTGAACATGACTACTGCAGGAGCATTGCCACGGTCCTTTCTTTCTTAAGGAGGCCATGACAAGTGCCGTTGTAATTAGTAGTGATTTATTAATTCAGTTTACTTCTCTCTGCAAGAGAGATGGAACATGAAGTCTCTATATTATCTAGTTCAGGTTCCTGTGATTGTCTGCTTTGTCCTCCCAGCTTGTGTTGCACATCTGCTTGTGCTGTTTTGCTGCTCTTTTCATCAGGCTGTTGGATGTATCGTACAGCCTGTGTGAGGGCTGGGCACTAACGTCTGCTGCAACACTGGTAATAAGAAATTATGAGTAACATGCATCAGCAACTGAGGCCATGGATTTCATAAATGCCACTAATTGCTGAGTTATCAGAGCCTTCTTCCCAAATTTGTTTGCTAAGTGACTAAAGGCACGTTCTCTTCTCTCCAGCTCAGTAGGAGAGTTGAGAGTGTCCACACTGAGGAAGTGCTCTGTGAGAAAGAACTATTTGAATTTGACCTTGACAGCTGTCATGGATATGTAGTCAGTAGAGAATGAAATAGTCTTCTTGCTTTTATACACATTTCACCCAAATGAGATAGTAAAATGTGAAATCTAGATGTTTGTAATGGTCCCTGGAGAACTTTGGAATGTCAGAGCAGTAACTGTATCAGAGGTCTGTTATAAAGGCAGGAAATGTTACTACATATTCATACAATACTATACTACATATATGGAAGGAGTAATTAAATAGAAAATTACTTATTTAAATTAACAACTTCATTTGAAAGTAATTAAGAAAAGGATCAGGAAATGGAAAAATTTGGATGAAAAATGCATATAAAATTTAAGCTCTGAAGATTGTCTGTATGCTTTTATGCTGTAATTAAGTTGGTGTTACAATCTAGGGGAGGAGCTTTATGGGTGATCTGTGATGTTCTGTCAGACTTAGAAGTTTAAGGCTCTCAGAGGTGCAGTCCTGCTTGTGTACCCCAGGAAGTCAGAGAAGTGGGCACCTGCTGCAGCTCTGCCAGTGGGAGCAGGGGCAGCTGCTGTCATGCCCTGGCTGGAACAGCTCTGGTCTGGCTCAGTAGAAGCAAATGTTTAAAGTTAGAAGGGTTCTTTATTTAAATAGCAGGTATGACTTGCAGTAGCCTGTTGCGTTTCTTGAAGTAGTTTTGTTACAGAAAATCCAGTTCTATCCCATCTTTCTAGGTATCACAGATGCAGCAAGGGGTCTCCAGGCAAACAGGGGCTCCAGGTTACGCTGCTGACCCAGCTCAGCAGAGCACTCAGGTCATTGCCAGCTGGGGCAGAGTGTTCCTAATGGTTCCCCACGCTCATTTAACAGTAAGTTAGGCTAACGCAGGGCGGCCTGAGAACAACCTCACGATAGCCCTCAGCAGCAGGACAGGACAAGGCACCAGGCTCGGGGGAAGCTGTGGCGCCCGCCGGTGACGTCAATGGGAGCGGGGCCCGCAGGCCGCCCGCCTGTGCCCTGGCCCCGGGCAGCCTGGGCAGGGAGCCCGGCGGTGCCTGGCTCCTACCTGTGATGGCAGAGGGGGAATTAGGCTTTGAGGGCTGCGAGGGGGCTGGCTGCTGGAGGTTAGGCATCGTACCCGCTTTTAGAAGCAGGCTGTTTGCTTGAACAGCAGCTCTGAGATCCATGAGTCAAAAGACCTCCTTCAGAACTGCGGCCAGCTGAAGGGCTGTGCTTGGAGGCTTTTTTGTTCCTCCATTTAAGTGTTTTAGGTTTGTTTGGTCCAAGAGTATGCTCAGGGTTTGGGGCTGAGTCATGAGGATCAATCACCGTGGAGAGTGCAGAAGGGGTTGTTTAATTCACTTAATTGAGAC